AGTTCACTGGTGATTCTAGTAAAAACAGTCTGTATTGAATGAACTGTATCACAACAGGCGCTATGAATTAAAACAATGTTTGCAAAAGGCAAAAGAAAAAAAATCATATTTCGGCAAATTCTTATGTGAAACATATTTAATTAATTTCATTAATTATATAATATTAATGGATTTATTAAAAGTAAAAAGATAAGTAAGTAAATAAATTAACTGTTCTCCACCAAAATAAATACTTAAATAATTTAAACAGCATATTTAAAATTAAAAAAAGACAATACGCGAAATTAATTAAATATATTAAAACACATGCATTTGAATTAATTAAATATATATATATATTCGTTTGAATTAATTCGATATTTATATATTCACATGCATTTAAATTCATTAAATATATTTAAATTAATTAAACGCATTTAAACTTATTACATAATCATCATTTGTTATTTAAAATTGAAAGAGGAAATTAATTACAAGTATGGGAAGATATACATGAAATTAATTAAATACAGGTAAACTTATTACATAATAATTACATATTATTACTAATGAATTTATTAAAAGAATTTCGATAAATAAGTAAAGAAATTAATTTACTGTTCTCCACCAAAATAAATATCAAAATCACGAAAATGTAGACGAATACGTTGACCCGTTTTACCATTGAGCAAATAAGTACAACGAAAATTCTGAAAAGAAAAGGTTAAAGGTTAAAATTATTATCACTACTTTTCTTCCAATGTATTTTCTTAATTCAAATTTTCTCTTCCTTTAATGTGAAAATTAAATCTTACATTATTATGCATAATTACATAATTAAATTATAAAATACATAATTAAATGAATAAATTTAGACCTTACATTATTATACATAATTAAATCACTTAACCTAAGTAATTTAATAAATTAATTTGTCAAACAAAAATTGCATGAATCATATATCCGATTGTATCGATGCTGTTTTTTTGAAGTATTTAAATTAAATATTAAAAATTCATATAGTTTAATACAGTCACAAAATTATGTACATTTTAAGTACTTAAATTAAATATTAAAAATTCATATAATTTAATACTGTCACAAAATTATATATATTTATATAAAATATATATAGATTTTAGATTCAAATAATTTTGTGTTATAAAATTAAATTTTGTGATTTTTGTCCCAAAAACATTTATCTTTATGAATTCATTCATACTTATATAATCATTTATATATTAATAGTTTAAATTGATTAATTTATTTATATATTAATAGTTTAAATTAATTAATTTATTTATGCATCAAAATAATTGGTCTATATATTAATAGTTAAATTTTAATACAATTATTGCTCATTTGATATTTCATTTATCAGTTGTTCGTCAATTAGTGCTAATTTAAAAGTAAAAGGTCAAAGGTTTTAAAGCTTACTTTAGGATATGTTCCTGGATAAGTAGGCGAAAGTATAGATCCACGTTTTCTATAAAACAGAAGATAATTTTTTGTTTTTTTCTCTTTCTCTTTCTCTTCATCTCTCTCTCTCTCTCATTTTATTCCCTATCTTTTTCTTGTATTTCATTAAATTTACATTTCACTTATTTTATTCCAATAATTTAAACGAAGATTTTGCTAAGAAATACTTCCTTTAAATCAAACAACAAACTTTTCTTTGTTTCATTAAATTAATTTTTTCATTAATTACAGAATGCATTATTAATAAGAATTAAAATTTATTATTATTTAAATTTAATTATGTCATATTTCAACACAATTGATTAAAAATGTTAATTTTCCTCATATAATTTAATTTTTAATTAAAAAAGAAATCATTATATTAATTGGAATTCTTCAAATTAAAGCAAAAAATTTATGAGATGAATTTTTAAACGGAAAATTATGAACTTACTTAAATTTTGAATCGATCACAAAATTACATTTACCTGGTGGTACTTTTTTGCCAACCTGATAAGGTGCTGAAATACGGTGTAAAATTTAATTTAGTATGTTTCGTAAAAAATAAAACAAAGTTATCAGAAGCTTTGAAAATTTATTTAATATTATACAAATGTGTTTATGTCATTTAAATGAATAATTAATGTCGATTTAGGGTAGTAAGCTAAGCTAGGCTACTTTTTTATCTAAGGCTACTTTTGTCTTAGAAAGGAAAAACTCATTAGCCTTTTGTTTATCATATATTATAGTAGCCAAGGATGTTTTTCTTTTCTAATTTTTTCTCTTGAAATATTCATTTTAATTAAATAATTAGAATTTATTAGAAATATTCATTTTATATAAAATATTAATTGCTAAATTAATTTCAAGCAAAAAAACTAAATAATTCTATTCATTTATTTCTTTTAATTCAATTTAAATCATTTCTTATTTAATTATTTAATTGTATTTTCTATATTAGCGCTAAATTTCTTTTGTTTCAATTTTTTGTTATTAATTAAATTCGAAATCGAAAAAAGAATTTGTAATTAAAATTTTATTTATAAAAAACAAAATTATAACCATCAGATATGAATGCATAATGACCACGAAATTTTCGTATATTTCGTTGATTTGTCACAGCTCTTGAATGAAATACTAATACAATAACACGATTTAAACTGAAATAATAATATTGAAATTGAAATTTGAATTAAAATTTATTAATTAAATTAAAAGTTATTCAAAAAAAAATGATAGTTATAATAAATAAATTTGGCAGTTAACGAAAAAGTAATAGTTAAAAAAATAATTAAAGAAATTAAATAAAATATTTTAGGGACAAGAAAGAAAAATGAAAAGTTAAAATTATTTTTTACAGGTGAGGTTAAAATTATTTTTCACAGGTGAGATTTTCTTGTTTTTATTTTCGCTTATCAAAACTCTAATTTAATCATTTATAAATGAATGAAAAAGGTTAATTAAAAGTTATCTTTTATTTTTTAAAAAAGATTAAATTAGAGTAATTACCTAATTCTAACGTACGGTGACACACTACCACAATAGCGTCCACCAAATGCAGCAGTAAGCAAATCATCATCAGGTTCTTCCAATTCCGAATATATATCCACATATTCAGTTTCACAACTGAGTTTGAAAAAAATTAATTAATTAATTAATATGCATTTTGAAAATTTTGAATTTAATCAATCATAAAAATTCCCTCATTTAAATGACATAAAAATTTGCAAATTTAATCATTAATTTTTAGTTGAAAATTTTCCGATAATTGCTGCTTCAAATTTCAAATATCATATTTGGAAACAATGAAAAATATTTCAAACAGATTTGGAAACTGTCTCTAACATATTAAACTTATTTCAAGATCGCATGATATTGAAGTTAAACTTCGAAATTTTCGTTGAAAATTAAACTTCAAAATTGCATGAGATGAAATTTGAAATTTCAAATATCATGCGATATTTTGAAAAATATTTCAAACAGATTTGGAAACTGTCTCTAACATATTAAACTTACTTCAAAATCTTCGTCGAAAATTAAACTGCAAAATCGTATGTTATGAAATTTCAAATTTCAAATATCACTGCGATCTTGAAGTTTAACTTCCGATGAAGTCTTATTTAATTTCCTCAAATTGTAATTTTCTTCAATTGCTATTTTGAAATGATCGATAAATTTTAAAATATATTAAATTCAACTGGACGAAAAAACGCACAAATTTAATAATTAATTTTTATTTGAAAATTATACACATTTTTTATTTACAAAATTAATTTCCAATTTAACAACCAATTCATTTGCTGAATTTCAATTCTTTTAATTAAAATTTCACATTGCTCTTCTTTTTCCGCAAAAACAATGAAGCAAAAGAAAAGGGAAAAAACTTACTTGCCAGTAGTTCCGGCTAAATGAAATTGATCGAAATTTAGTTTTACTCGTTGTCTTGGAGCCGCAACAAACGTGTATATACACTATAAAATAAAAATTTTAAAATTATGCTTTAATTTAAAGAAAATGAAAAATCGATTAATTTTATATCTCATCTTAATTAAAATATCTGAATTTTAATAATATCAAAAGAGGAAAATACAAATAATTGAAATTATAATTAAAAAAGAGACAATTACTCTTACTTGCAAATTTTTTTGACCCTCCGGTCGTAAAATTTGTTCGGTAATGGTAGCTGAAGGTGGTAACATCGGTAATTCAAATTCACCTTCCATAGTAGATGAATCGAAGATATGATCACATTCTAAAGCTTCCTTACAATTCTACTATATTCCACCCGTTTAATTCTCATTGTTAATTTGAATGATGATGCTTTATTGTTATAATTTGATTGATAATGAATATGCAATTTTAGTAATTTCAATTTCGTTAATTAATTACCATTTCTATTATTCTTATCTTCTTGATTAAATAAAACTTGTATATATACATGTATGCTTCAATTGATTTGTTGACAGCTAATGTGTGTATGTATGCTTTAATTGATTTATTGATAGCTAATATGTGTATGTATGCTTTAACTGATTTGTTAACAGCTAATTATATTTTACCACTAAATAAATATAACGTCTTTTTTAATTTTTCATTAATACACTACAATTAAGCATTTATCTTTGTTTAAAACATGATAAACTTACTCTTCGTATGATAAGATACTTTTGAGCCAGAAGAATAGGATAATAATCAGAAAGCATATTATAATACAAATAAATAGTAATGCAAAAAATATATCGCAGTCAATATTTCGACAAAATGAACAATCTTCTTTTATATCATCGTTTTTTTCATTATTTAATAAATTGATTCGAGCTTCTATTACATTTTCCAATGTGCGCATATGCGACATTTGCGCTTTTTCGTTCTTTGTTTTTATTTTCAAAAAATTTTCATTGCTTTTTTCTTTTTGCTTAACAGATATAAAAACTAACTGAAAAAAATTTAGCATATTATATTTAAAAATTATTAAATAATAATAAACTGCGAAACAAAAATACTTTTTGTTATTTTTTTATTAACAAAATTAATTTAGGATATGTCAAAAAAAATTATGAAATAAAATAATTTTTTAAAATTAAAACAATAGGAATGAAATTTTTAAGTACAAATATTGTTTAAATTTTCGATTAACATCATTTCTGATAAGAAGAATGATTAAGCCTAATTTACGTTATACAGTATTTCGAATTTTGTTATGTTACTGTATTAAGTTCTAATACAGTAACATTTTATCAGTCATCATTTAATAAGAAGAATGATTGTATTAGGTTCTAATACAGTAACATTTTAAAAGTCATCATTTGATAGGAAGAATGATTAAGCCTAATTTACGTTATACAGTATTTCGAACTATGGTAAATTTTGATTATCTTTTTTTTATTGTAAAGAAAATTAAGGCAAACTTCTTTATCCATTTCAATTTTTTAATCATTTAAATTATTAAAATGAAAACAATTAAAAAATTAAGGAAAAATTTTAAGCAAATTTTTTTTCCTATTTTTGAATTTCAATCGTTTAAATTAATAAAATTAAAGAAAGCTTTAAAAAAAAAAAAGACATTCTTAGATTTGTCGAAAAAATTGTTGAAAGAGTGGAAAGAGAGTGGAAAGATATCGGTTTATCGTTTGGTGTCTAATTTCGAATGAAATGGTTTGAATCGAATTGCAATACGCTTCGTCGTTTTTAAAATAAATATTACATTTGAAGTGTGGAATGATTGATGGTGTCACAAAAGATTTATTCAATGGAGCATCATTCTCTCACATACTCTTCAATCTTCGTTCTATTATTTACTTTTTAGAAAAAATTTAATTTAAAAAATTTTTGAAGTAAATTTTATTTCGAAGTAAATTATTATATACGACAATAAATTATCATTCCAATCATATTTCAATGTTTAGCATTTATTTTACTACAGTATGAAATAAATCAGTCTTACTGTAAATAAATGCTAATTTATTAATTTATTTCATACTGTAAATAAATTAATAAATTGAAAAAGAAAAAGATATTTATTGTTTTTAATTGATATATCATAGAGTATTATTAGAAAAAAAGAGAAGTTAAATTTTATTTTATATTATTGTTATAATTATATAACTAAATAATTTATGTAAATAAATTATTTATTAATATAACCTTCGCCCCAATATGCAAAGGAGTATATCCATTCTTGGCAGCAGCATGCGCAGAAGCACCATTTTCTAAAAGTAGCAACGCCACCTTGTCGTTGTTGTAATGTGCCGCTACATGCAGAGGTGTAACC